GGCGTGAGAAACACATCGTGTGTGTGTGTGTGTGTGTGTGTGTGTGTGTGTGTGTGTGTGTGTGGAGAGAAATGGATAAGGAGTTGCAACATGACCAACCCCCATGGAGGGGAGTGCCTTCTCACCTTCTCTCTGTCTCTCTCCATCGAATGCATGCACCCTCTGGCAAATTAATTTTTTTTTACAAAAGCACTGCATAATGACTTTCTGTTTAACTATGGACTGCATGTATAACAGGTCTGCCTTGTGCCCTGGCTCTGTGGGAGGCTTTATCAGCCAGCGTGGTGTAAGTGCACTCCATGATGGTCATGCAACCACGAAACTGCCGAACGGCACAGCATTGCAAACGCATCCCTGATGCTGAGCGGCCCCACTGTGTTCATTCTAAACTGTCCTGCACCCTCCCGTCAGTCACACCAAGTAGGTCTTGGGTCTGTCCACACCACTCCAGATCCACTACTATAATTTGAATTCAAGACTTTTTAGTGAGCCTATCCCTAAATGATCCCACCCATTATAAAAGACTTATTGGGATGTAATTTACATGAAAAATTCAATGATTTTCAGTTGTCTGTCCATCATGTCAGTTTTAGAGTATGTTTTCCATCCGCAAAAGAAACTATTAGCAATCACTTCCAATTCCCTCAATGTACTTAACCACTAATCTACTTTCTGTTCCAAGATTCTAGACTCATGGATTATGATCATTTTAAAGGAAAGGTACCTAGTCCTTCATCACTCTTTTTTTTTCTTGAGAGTTTTTTGCTATAGGGTGCGTGCGTTTGCCAGAAAGACAGAGAGAGACAGAAAGACAGAAAGCGAAAAATCACCCCCTGGGAGAATGGCCACACCACAATCCTTTATCCTCTATTCTCCTCTAAGGATCTTAGGCACTCACACGCATGCACCCGGTGTGAGTTTAAGCCACTGGGTCCAGCGACATAGCCATTACGCCAGCTGCTGGTCCCTCATCACTGTCCTTTCACGGCATGTTTTGAGGTTCATCATGTCCTATCTTTCAGGACTACATGACAATGCCAACTTACAAGACATTATACAGCTATACCAATTAAGTTTGCTCACTCATGAGTTAATAGCCATTTAGGTTGTCTCCATTATGTTTGTTATTATGAATAATGCTGCTGTGGAAATTGAGGTAAAAATGTGGCTGCTCTGCTTGCCATTTCTACCAGCAGCATGCGAGCGCTCAAGGTTTTTCCATCCTAATACTTGATGTTGGGTCTTTTAAATTATAGCCATCCTAGTGAGAGAGAAACAGTAATTCATTGTGGTCTTGATTTGCATTTCCCTTAACTAACAACATGGAGCATTTTTTAAATGTGTTTATTGGAAACCTCTCGATTATCCCTGGATATATATTAAAATTCTCTGCCCATTATTGGACTGAGCTGTTTGTGTTTTTGAGTTGTAGCTATTCTTTAGAAAGAAGTTCCTTATCAGATATAGGACTTGCAAATAGTCACCTTTGTAGGTTGTCTTTTTCACTTTCCTGATGTCTTCTGAGAAATACATTCTAAAAAATTTTATCTTGCCTAGTTTATCTTTTTGTCATTGTCACTTTTGCTTTTGATGTCACACCAAAAAAACATCACCTAACCTGAGGTCACAAAGAGTGACCCCTGTATTCTCTTCAGAGTTTTGGAGTTATAGCTACTATCTTTCGATCTTTGCTCCACTTTGTTCATTTTATTTATTTATTTATTTATTTGTGTGAAAGAGATTTTTGCTGTAGGTTGTATGTGCTCACCAAAGAGAGAGAGAGAAAGCAAGAAATCACCCCCCAGGAGGGATAGCCACACCACAGTCCTTTCTCCTCCAGTCTCCTCTCGAGAGTTTTGGCATGCACACACTCGCACCTGGTGAGTTTCAAGCTGCCTGGTCTGGGACTCCAACAGAGGTCGACTAAGTGGGAGTCCAGCAATGTAAGCATTACGTCATCTGCTGGTCCTGAAGCACCATCATCTGTTGAAAAGACTTCCCTTTTCCCATTGAATCCTCTTGGAACTTGTCAAAAACCAACAATGTATACTTATGGACACTCAACTCTGGACCACTGACTTATCTTTGCACCTACATGCCTGGTCCTGTGGCCTTGCATGTTTAAATTAAAACCAGAGTATACAAAATCTCTGACTTTTTTTTTTTTTTTTTAACTATACTAGGTCCCTTACATTTATATATGAATTTTAGGATTGTGTCAATTTGTGGGAGAAAAAATAAGATCCTTAGATTTCGGTAGGGACTGCATCAGACTCTCCACTGGGAGGTAACTGTGACCACCCTCACACCACACACAGTCTAGTGGGCCAAACTGAATGCATGGTGCTCCTGAATCTGTAACTCAAGACTGTTTCGTGATAGCCAAGTAACAGTTACCTGTTTCACCAGGTGGCCTGTGATGGCCTGGAGGGGTGGAGGACTTCAACGGCATTCAATTGGTTCTCATTCATTTCAGGTCCATTTTTTGGTAAAATTGCAATGGTTTACTGTCTCACTCACTTGAAGGGCTGCTCTCACAAAAGACCACACACTGGGTGGTTTAAGATCAAGGTGTCAGCAGGTCTCCTGCCTGAGGACCCTACCTGCTGTGTGGAAGGCACTCTTCTCCTCCTATCCTGACCTGGCAGAGAGGACTGTCACTTTTCCTTTTCTAAGGGCACTAACATCATTAGACTCTGCCCTCATAATGTAATTACCTTCCAAAGGCCCCCACTCCTAATACCATCCCACCGGGACTTAGGGTGTCAACGCCTGGCTTTTCAGGGAACACATTCAGCACATGACATCCAGTGACTGTCTCTAGATTCTGCACTCCCCCCTTCTCCTCCCCAAGCTAGTCTGTCCTGTATTTGGAAGAATGATTTTTGTATAGAGAGCCTTGAACTCACTCACGTCTCAATAAATGTTATGAAAAGTAAGTTTGTGGTTGTTAAAAGAAAACAAAAAAGAACACAATAAAGGGGTAAGTAAAGATATTTTACATTTGGGGTTTTGACTTTTCGATTTAGGAATGTTCAATCTGTACTACACCACTTTATATAAAGAACTTGAAAATCTGAAGATTCTGGTAACCATAGTGGGGGGAAGTGCCCTGGCACCAACACCCCATGGCTACTGAAGGACAACTGCATGTGAGAGACCCTACTTCCCATCACATTTACCAGGGAAGGGTGGTACCATTAGAAAAAATACAAATGGGAGAAACAAGTTAAGTTTTTGAAAAGGATTTGTGAAATTGGAAGCCATTATGACTATGAACATTTAAAATCTATTCATCCCTAGACTCATTTAATTGAAGAAATGCATTGAGGACTAGTCAGCCACCAAGAATTCATATATAGAATCTGTTTTTAATATTAGTCTAAATTAAAGGTATGTGAGAGGATAATATTTTTTTTTTTTTTTGGAGAGTTTTTTGCTATAGGGCACGTGCGCTTGCCAGACAGACAGACAGAGAGATAGAAAGCGAGAAATCACTCCCTTGGGGGATGGCCATGCCACAATCCCCTCTCCTCCATTCTCCTCTTGGGATCTTGGGCATGCACGCACACGCGCCTGGCGTGAGTTTTAAGCCACTGGGTCCGGGACTCGAACCGCGGTCGACCACATGGGAGTCCAGCGACATAGCCATTACGCTAACTGCTGGCCCCGGATAATACTCTTGAAGGAAGGAAATTAAACTGATTTTTTGATCCACACCATTACTAGAATAAAATTCATGAATTTCAGTGCAAATTCAGTTATTTGGGGAAACTTTAATATCCTATGATTTAACAAATTTTTTAAAGATTGAATACAAACTATCTTAAGACATTAATCAAATTTTAATGTACCAATTTATTGCATATGTCAGTACAGAAAAATAGAAAGTATATTTTAAAAGAAATTTATTGTAAAAAACCAAAATGTTTGCTTGCCATGGTCAGTCCACAATGTACTATAACATTCAAATCTGAATTATAAAATTTTATTACTGCTTCAAATAAAATATGGAAAATAACAAAAATATGATTTACAGTGTGAAATTATAGAAACTTATTTTATCCTGAATGTACTTGAATATGTTTCAAACAACTTGAATTTCCAGTATATGCTGTACTGACAGAAATTCTGTTATAAATTATGTTCAACACACACTCACCCGTTACATATGTATATATGGCACTTTTTTGATTAAAAAAGTGTCTTTTATACATAGTCCAATTTATAAACTACATTTTTAAGGTACAAAATATAAATGGAGGTATATTTTGCGCCATTTGGCAAAATGTGTTGACTATTAGGACGACTGCATTGATTTTGCCATACAAATGACTATCATATGTCTGATCGGCTGAGATGATATGCACATAGGATAATTAGAACAAAAGTTTTCAATTTTTTACCATATCAATTTAAAAAATAGATGTCTGTGCTGTCGTTTCCAACTGTACCTGAGTGATATGAAAATATGTAAATTTAAACAGACAATCCAAAAGGGTTATTTATGACTAATTTTTCCTTTCACAGCTTCTTTTAGTAATTGTAACTACCAAACATAATAGAAAAAGGGAGTGGGGGAAGACCAGTTGAGGTTTTCAGCATCTCAACCCTGACCTAAAGCAAGTGACCTGTGTGACACCCTTTTATAAATTCACCTTATTTACTCCTAGCCTCAGGAGGGGACTCAATCACAACACGAATTACTTTGAACTGTCTGAGCTTGCGAGCTTATTTAGGTAAAGCTAAATATGGGTACTCTCTTCTTAATTCCACCAAATCTATTCCCACCCAAGCCAAATCTCACAAATATATGAAATACGTAAACATCGAATGGTATGAATTCTCAACAAGTATTACAATACTCTCTAGTGACAAGTTACAGAGCGGTAATCGGTGTTATCAAGTGTCTGTAGCACATCATGCTGAAATAAATCTACACTGCTCTGTATCTGGTATTTTATGGTTATCTATAACAAAATTCAGAACACCATTTAAAAAAAATACCCATTTCACAGCCAAAACGATATCTGCAAAATAAAAACATATGGTAGTTGTAAACATGAAGTGCTCCAGTAACTTTGTTAGAAATGTTTTCTGTTCAAATGTTTTGTTTTGCACTGTTTCCTTTTAACCAATCACATTACATTCTATATTTAAATTTTAAAACTATCAAATTGTCTTTTCTAGTTGCTTCAATTCTATTAGCTTTTTAAAAATATATCACAAATTATTTTATTTCTATTTTGTAGTCTTTTTACGGTCCTCTTTTTTACCAGGTTCCCCCCCCCCCCGGTTTTTTTCCACCCCTCTTTAACAATAATTTGCTTTTAAAAAATCTATTTTTAATTTTATTGTAAATGCACTGTATCTTGCCATAGTTAAAAATCATTCTAAGACTTTCCAATCTGCAGTTTAATAACTGAAGATTCATTTAAAAACTTCTATAGCTGGCTCATGTACAAATGAGCCATAAATTAATACATGAACTGGACAAACTTCTGCTCCCACTGTGAGATGGGTCCAAAATAAAAAAAAAGTGACTCACGAAGAAGCCATGTTTTACTAAGACCACTGCTTTGGCCACAAAATTGGAAGTGTTTTTAAAAATGATGCAATGGCTTCACGGACCCCGGATAATGAGTTTGTTTACCATCCCTTTCCCTATCTCTAAGGACATACTCTGAAATACAAAAGCTAGTGATGGATGATGTGTTACCGCCCTAGACACAGCCTCTACGATTTGCTGCAGAAAAAGGGTCCTCTCACTCTGAGGAGGAAGGTGGGGGTGGTACACAAGTACTCTATGACTTCTGAAGTACTGGCTTAAAAAAAAAAGATGGCTTATAAACATAGAGTATCAAAAATCGAAAAAAGCAGCAAAAAACTGAGTACTGAAGAAGAAACTTTTCTATTTCACCAGTATCATATTTACAACTAAAATTGGTCAATTCCTCCATAGTGTAAAGACAACATTACATAAAAACATAAAGCACTGTGTAAACTTTAAAGAATGAGACAAATGTGAGGTGTGCCATGTACACCCATCTCTAAATATACATTTCTTGTATTAATTTTTTATGCATTACTATTTATGACAGCCATTCTACATAGCAACGATTGAGAAGATGACAAGCAGCCTTTAATTGTGGTGAGCTTATACACACAAAATACACCTGCCATGATATGCAATACCAACTCTTTAAAAAGCAAGACTTTTACAATTTATAATTTATAGAAAAACATTGTTCTTTAGAAATCATACTCGCTATATTTTTTCTAAATACTGGCATAAAGTGAATGATAAGAATGCTATTTGGCAAAAATATTTCTAGCCCTATCTCCATGGAAAGTTTTAAATTAAGGTCAAGGTTATTGACTCATTATTTCTCTGCTCTAGCTGCTTGCTGAAAGCCAATAAATATGGTTAAAATATTCAAAATATTATATGTTAAAGCTGATATAATAATGTACAGAGCTTGATTACATCTAATTTTTGAGGACTGCTTGAAACAATTTGGCACAATGATGCCTCTAGTTGATATTTTTATTAAGGTAAATCCCATGAGTTTCAAAGGGCTTTGTTTTTTAAGTAAGATTTGTCTTACTCTTCTATACGTCTAAATGCTACTTCCCACCTACAGCCATTTAACTGTTAAATGTGATAATAGGTTCTGTGTTTTCTTCCAATCCCATACCCCTATATGTAAAAAATTTAAAAATGAATAAATACATGAAGACTTTCTAAAACTATCTGTCTTTTGGTGCAGGAGTTCTACTTCACAGCAACTGCAACATTAAACCAAGAACAAAAAAATATTAACTTTTCTTTCTGTAACTTATTTTCAAAAAGTCCCATAAAGGAGAGCATGGTTTCTGTGAGGACTGGGACTTAAAACTCAAATGTGGGAATTTTCTGTAAAACAGTATATACAATGACATAATGATAAGACTTCTTAATTTAATTCTTAAATAAGTCCTAATCTTCACTATGACTATTAGTGGTTCAGCTGTAGACTTACAAAATTTACAGAAGCTAAAATTCTCTTTGCCACCAAAATTACAAACGTTAAAAAGTTCAAATATGCACATCAAAGCTGCAGTAAAATTCTATATTTCTATTTCTATGTGCCAGGATCCAAACTGTACCTAACAAAAACATGGTACATTTATACTGGAAAACACAGTCCCATTTATTTGTGAGAAAAAGCTGGATCTCAGCATTCACCAGAGCAAAATTTAATGGCAACCTGCACTTAGGCCTCAATTTCACTTCTTGCCAAAAACAAAATAGAGTTTACATAAAAATAGATATAACCCATGTAACCATATACGTTGGTATATGACCAGTGCTATTTACATTACAAATATTGCATTGCATAATTCAAGGAATAAAATACCATCATGCATTTTAACTTTGAAGGTGAAAAATGCAGTTACAGAACTAAGTTTGCTTACCATGATTGTCCCAATGTGTACTACGTAAGTGACACCCAAAGGTTTCTTGTCTGGATGACTCCTTCCACATCCAGCTATGTGTAACAAGGATTATACCAATTTACCAACAAGAAACTTTTGAACCATCTCTATTATACTGACACATTAAACTAAAGACATGGATATATAACCACACTGAAAGTTTTGATGAAAATGTATGAAATCATCCCCAAAACTATAGTTCTTCAAATGTAAAAAATGATTTGGATCGTCATAAAGGAGCACTGAAGTCCTTTCAAGCGTTAATGTCACTCTGCAGACAATTATGGACATGACACACTTCCAGAGAGGAATATTCTTTATCATTCTGCACAAATTAAAATACAATGTATCTATCAGAGAGGGAAACATCATATAATTGTCACGTTTGAAGAACTTTTGGCCATCTCCTCGGGAGAGTGACTCTTCACGACTTCTCTGATGAACTGCTCCAGTGCAGTGAAATAGCCTTGGCACTGCCACGTGTCATTGTGGGTCCCGTCTGGAAAAATGGCCAATCTCTTAGTCCGTGAAGGGGAGAGCTCGTAAAGTTGCTTCATCATCACTGGTGGAATTAACTGGTCAGAGAGTCCGGAGATGAAAAGAGAAGGCATTCTGCACTGAGAGATTTTCCTGTAGGACAAAAATTTGTTTTTGTAGCACCATAAAGGAAGGTAACGCATTGGGAAGAATGAGAATAAAGTGCTGGCCATATGTGGTATGCTTAAAAATGTGTTCTCCACCATAATGGCTGAAATCCTGTGTGAATTTTCAGAAGCCAAATGAATAGCCACTGCTCCTCCCAAGGAACGGCCAAAAAGAAAAATTTTTGTTTTATCGAGGTCAGGTCTGGTCATCACGTAGTCCAGCACAGCTTCAGAATCTAAGTAGAGTCCCTCCTCACTTGCTTCTCCCTCGCTTTTCCCATACCCTCGATAATCAACAAGCAAAAGATTGACTTTGAGGTTAACCAGCATAAGCAACGCATTTGGCAACCTGTGACCTATGTTGCCTGCATTCCCATGAAAATAAATTATGGTTGGGGAATACGGAGAATTGTCTCCAGTGTATCTTATCAAAATAAGATTTAGACGAACTCCATCTTTGGTTCTGATGAAAATGTTTTCATGCGGAATGCCAGTGGGCATGGGGACATAAAGGCGTGAAGAAGATGGCTGCTCTGGAAAATAAAGCAAGACATCCTGGAACTTGTACAGAATACCTGCTATTGATATGAATATTAACAAAAGTAAGATAATGCCTCCATACAGATGAAAAGTCACTATTAAAGGGAGAAGAGAAATTCGGCAGAGCGCCCAAGACCATGAAGCCAAAGCTAGGAGCCATCTTTCAACAAAGTTCCACAGCATCCAGGACTTTTCCATTGTAGCTCTCTGGAAGTATCCTAGAGAGAGGAAGAGAGAGGACGTCAGTAATTCAACAAATACCTATTCCCGACAAGATGCAGTACATGGACCCACAGCACCAATTACTGTAACTCCTTTTATCCCCTCTGTTCTCACCAACCTCCTTTCAACTGTATCCCTTCATTGCCGTATTTACGAAACACAAATATTCATCAAATTATATTCAGTTTTTAAAAAAATGCTTGCTCACTGCTGGGTAACTTTATTCATGGGTTCTCACAACCTGATAGGAAAAGAAAGTGGATGCTCTAGTCCCATTTTTTTTTTTTATGAGCAACAGGTATTAGGGTACAAATGCATTATCATCACTCCAGCTCTCCAGGTAACAGAGCTGGACAGCAACCGGGCATGATATCAAAATTAAAGTATACCTGATGCTACACTACATATGTCTCGGACACACTATACCAAAGAGGTGGTTCGTAACTTCTAACCTAGCAAGGCCAATCCCAAAGCACTGCCAATTTTTTTTTTATACATATATTACAGAAAAAAATAAGGAAAACTAGAGCAAGAAAAAGTTGGAATAAGAAAGAATAAAAACACATCCCCCTCACCTGGAGGTTTTCAAAGCTAAACTTAATTAAGCAATTTGTCTTTCACATCTAATCAAAAATAAGTTTTAGGGAACCAGCAGGTGGCTTGGTGATTAAGGCCCTGGAACCCCACATGGTCGACCACAATTCAAGTCCTGACTCTGGAGCCTGAAAAATCACACCAGGTGTATGTGACCAAAATCCCAGAAAGAAAACGGAGAGGAGACTGTGGCATGGTCATTCCCCAGGGGGATGATGTCGCACTTTCCCTCTCACTGCCTTTTTCCAGAAAGCACACACACCTGATGGCAAAAACCTAAAAAAAGTAAATAAATTTAAAAAATATTAATAAAAAATGTTTTAGATTGCCAGTGTCATGAGCTATGCACTTTTTCTGTATTAAACTATACCATACCATTTGGTCGACTCAGATTGCCCAGTAACATTGTCCAGACAATTTTTATTGGTAAGACTTGGGGAATGACTGTAAAACCAATGTACTGAGATTTTAAGAAGTACACTGGAAAATATAACGGACATGAATAAAAACAGAAAAAAAGATAATTTTCTTATTATATTAAGGAGTATATCCATGTATCAAAAAGGCAAATAAAAAAGGCATGTTACAAGTTTCTTATGTATTATATTTACCTACTAATGCTCATTAAATTTAAAAAAAACTATTGTTTTATTCACTAACAAAACCACCATAAAGAAATTATTCTTAACTCTAACAAATACTTGTTAATAACTTACGTTTAAACTTTTTAAAAAGAATTATTTTATTTAACTTCATTTATTTATTTATTTGAATGAGAGGGGCAGAGTGGAGGGAGGTAGTGAGAAAGAAAGCCACCAGGTCCAGGATTCGAATCGCAGTTGGCCATGAGGAAGCCCAGTGCCCTTAACCACCATGTCGCCTGCCGGCCCCACTTACTTTTAAAATTTTATTGTATGCCATTAGCTAATATATGTGGCATTTAAGTATATGTCAAATTAAATTTAAACACCAAAACCCAAACAAAAATACTCCAGTATAAAGTCAAGTTAAATTAGATATCAAGACAGTGAGCTGAATGGTTTAATAAATTTGATTTTCACTATTATTTTATTACACTTAAATTTCCATATTTGAATTCTTATTTAAATAATTATTTTTGCATATAAACCAACGGCATAGCACTTCTGCTTTTCCAGATAGCAATATTGCCACCCAGTGGTAGAAAGTTTTAATACAGTGAACACCACATACAATCTAGACAAAAAGCTTGTATAAAAGATAAAATAAAAATCCAAGCTTAATTATTATGTAAGCAATAATACTATAGATGTTTAACCTAGCTAAAAATCAGATTAAAAGTTACAGTATAGCACCTAAGTAATAAACCTATTCTGACTTAACTGTTTTATTATCTACCACTGTTATTTGTCTACAATTTAAATTACACAAGGCTGATTTATATTCTTTCTTTTTAGTAAGTTTCAAAAATATAACTCGTCATTTAAACTTCTCATCTAACTTACTTAATTCAATTTTAAAGTAAAAGTAATATATGAATGATTTGAGTTTGTACCCATAATTTGTACTGGAAAAAACTGGAAACACACTGATAATAATTTTATACATCAAAGAAAATCTTACTTTTTGTGAAATGATTAGGACTAACAAGGTTTGTGATCTGATGTGTATTACAATATAGCAGTATTTGATATATAAGATACTAAAGATATTTCATTAGTGAAAAAAATATCAAAATTCTACTTTTACAGAGAGATTTTTTGCTATAGGGTGTGTGTGCTCGCCAGAGAGACAAAAATCAAGATATCACCCCCCCCCAGGGGAGGATGGCCATGTTGTAATCCCTTCTCCATTTTCCTCTTGGGATTTTGGGCCTGCATGCACACGTGCCTGGCATGAGTTTGAAGCTTCTAGGTCTGGGACTTGAACCACGGTTGGCCATGTGGGAATCCAGTGATGTAACCATTACGCCATCTGCCGGTTCCAAAACTCTACTATTTCTTTAAGAACCAAAACAATAATTTATAACAGAAGAGCAGAGATGTATAATTAAAATACAATTTGGTTGATAGTAAGAAAAACACTATAACATTCCATCGCCTTTAAAGTCTTGTTCTTTCACACACTTGCTAAGTAACTTCATATTTATCGCCTATTTCCAGTCTGAATTCATTTTCAGTAGAATGAGAATCATAAAAATGTTACACATAAGTTGTTCAGCAATATCAAACAAAATTAAAAGTAAAGGGGCCAGCAGGTGGCATGGTGGTTGGGGAAGTGGTTAGGGCACTGGGCTCCCACATGGTTGACCACTGTTTGAGTCCTGGACCTGGTGGCTTGCTTTCTCACTTTCTCTCTCTAGCTCTCTGGTGAACACGTGTGCCCTATAGCAAATTTTAAATTAATAATAAATAAAATTTTAAAATACTTCTTTAAGGGGCTGGCAAGTGGCGTGGTGGTTAAGGGCGCCCGAATCCCACATGGTTGACCACTGTTTGAGTCCTGGACCTGGTGGCTTGCTTTCTCACTTTCTCCCTCTCTGTCCCTCTCTGCTCAAATTAAAATAAATAAATAAAGTTAAATAAAATAATTCTTTAAAAAAATACTTCTTTAAAAAAAACCTAAAAGCATGCATACATATAATAGATATGTTAACTTTTATTTGCTCCTGTGACTAGTATTTCTGCCTACTATTACCTTCGTAAGTGTGTTCTGTTTAAATTACTATCAAAACCAGAATTTGCCAAATACCTGTAATAAAAGTCACGAAGTTTGATGAGGGTGTAGTTTTCAAGACAAAGTTCTTATTAAAGCAACTATTACAGCATTAGATACAAATACATGGATAAAGCATATTTTCAAATCCAATCTTATATTTACATCTGTGTAGGATAAATTTATATGGTTAAAGTTTTTAACTTACTAGGGCCAGCCGGTGGCATAGTAGTTAAAGCACTGAATTCCCACATGGTTGACCGCTGTTTGAGTTCTGGATCCAACAGGTTGAAATGCACGCTGGGTGTGTGTGCGTGCGTGTCCAAAGTCCTGAGAAGAGCATGGAGGAGAAATTGTGGCATGGCCATCCCCCGGGGGAAGATGTGATTTCCTGCTTTCTGTCTGTCTCTCTGGCAAGGGCACACATGCTACAGCAAAAATTTCTCTCTCTCAAAAAAAATTAACTTACTGAACTTTGAAATGCTCTTTTTTTGGAGTATCCTCTTCAATTTCTAATTTCAGCAATGAGTATTGAATTTAAGTTTGCAAGGTCAAGAACTGTGTTTCTCTTTTTCAGTACTGTATCCCTAGTGGCTAATGCAACACTTCTTATATACTCAAGACTAAAATGTGTTTTCAGTGGAAAACTCAGTAATATTTCTGAATTACTTTATTCTAGGAAAACATCCGAGTATCAGTGCAATGGGCATATACATGTAAGACCAAAAAACCTCGTATTTGTTTGGGTTTACTATTGATTAAGAATAAGGAATAAACTAGCAGTTTTCCATGAAACAGTCATGAAAAGTCACTTTAATTAAGGAACTTTGTGCTGAACAAATGTCTTCTTTTTTTTAATGTTGCCAGAAGGCACATGTCCTCACCAGAGCTAACAGAGACACAAACAGGGGAGAGGGAGAAGGAGAGGGTGGCCTCATGAACGCATTCCCGTAGGGAATGTAACACTGCAATCTCTTCCCATTTCTCCTTTCATCAGGGTTCTGGACAAACAGGCACACACATATGTCCAGTGTGTTTCTCAAGCTACCAGGTACGAGACTCAAAACCAAGGGTTTGGCCATAAGGGATCCAGCTGCTTTAACCACTAGGCCACAGAGCTGGCCCACCAAATATAATCTTACAATACTTACAATAGACTGTTGCATTATGAAAGTCAGAATATAAGTCAATTTGTTTTGAATAATAAATGGAAATAAATTTTAAGAACAGGTAAATAAAACCTGCTCTGGGGTGTGTGTGTGTTCTCTTTTTTTAAAATTTCATGTTTATACATTCAATCACATTATACATTCAATCACATTATAATCAACATGTGTACATTTCTCCCTAGTCCAGTTGATAATATTTTAAGTTATCTTCAACAGATAATACCACATTTCTTTGTCCCATTAATGCTTTGCTATTTTTCTTCTCTTTATTATGTTCCAATGCATCGGTAGTTTAGAATGAGACTTCTGCTCACAGACTGCCTTATCTGTTTGTTTATTTATTATTTTAATTTTCGTTATAGGGTGCATGTGCTTACTGGATAGACACAGAGGGGGAAAGCCTCACGACAGTCCCTTCTCCTCCATCTTCCTGTCAGGATTTTGGGCATTCACACAAACAACACACCTGATGTGTTTTTGACGTGTTTTTCAAGCCGCTGGGTCTGGAACTTGAACCATGCAGTTGGCCATGTGGGATCCAGCTGCCTTAACCTCTGCACCACCTGCTGGCCCCAGAGTACCTCGTATTTACCTAACTCAATTTGCCAGTAATCTCTGCTCCCTAGTCTGTAACATATCTCCACCTCAAAGCTGCTCTTAAGGAAGTGGGACAAGCAAACTTCCAATAAGGAAGGAACAGTGATTCACTAAATTTGCTAAAATATCAACAAAACACCATTATTATGACCTTAACCTGCTGAGATGTAAAAACAACTCCATACAGACCTAGATGTTATGATGGTCAGTAACAATGATCTCTGATGGTAATAAAGTGACTGTGTGGACCAGAATTATGGAAGGTTGCTATTTTGCCAATAAATGAACATGAATGTGTCGTTAACAAATCCTGTCTCCTTCTCCATATAATATAAAATGACCCTTATTTAACCTTCCAGCACTGTTTCCCTGGAAACCAGATAAAGGTGAGATATCAGCTGTGTTTCTAAGCAACAGTTTGTGGTTTAAAAAAAAAAAAAAGTGGGACTCCTATTGGTGAGCTCCCTATGAATCAAGAAGACAGGGAGCAGGTCTTCCTATGTCCAGTGGGAAGCATAAATGGGGGCCACTGAGTGGGAGGTGACTTATCAGGGATCTTTCGGAGTCTGGATGGTATACCCAAAGTGCTATTTGCTATAAGACACTGCTTCCTGTAGAACATGAAGCAGTTAAGCCGAGGTGGCACTGTCTCCCACGTGGAAGTCATCTTTTCGCTGGACCTGAATGATCATCTAGGAGCAACATACCTGACACTGAAATGCTGGGTTTTCTATCCCACTTCTTTCAACAAAGCAGAGCGAGATTGGTGCCCTATACAGCCTACTGGGTCTTGTGAGCATGAATGTCCAGCTAACCCCAAGATCACTGCTGCTGGTTATGCAGAATGAGCAGGACAACTAGCTGTTTTTTAGTGTCCTATATGGCAAAGCAATTAGGGAATGCATTATCAGAAGAGATGGATTATTTTTTGGGTTCTTTTGCATGTTGAAAGGCATCTGTCAAAAAATACTAGCATCTCAGCATCAACCAAGGGAAATGAACAGTTTAATACATTCCAAGCTAAATCAACGTTTATAGCAATTACAGGGTTGCTTAGCTGGGAAGACCAGTAGATCTGTTCCATGTAGAGCACAGAGACAGTCATCCAATAACTCTCATCTTTTAATCTTCTATATCATTCATCTATTTCTAACCTTGTGTCTATATCTTAAACGAACACCGTATTCCCATTTCCTAATTTTGCTTTTGGTATCTTACCAAACCTGATCTCACATGTCTAAAACCCTTCAATCTGTGGCTTTAACTGCCTCTAGTAACTACTTAACTATTTACTATCTGAAAATCTGATGAGCAAGCTCTCATACGATCTCTCATAAAAATTCAAACTCATTTGCTAATAAATGCAAAGGATCTTCTTCAATCCACATGGCACCAACCAACCTCCAAGGCAGCAGTGGCTACTGACTCTCCCTCTAGCTTCCAGTTTACTCAAGTCTCTCTTCCTTTCTGACCTACCTCTCATAATGCAGGCATGTTCCCTGGTCTCGCTCATTCTCCTTCAGATTTCTAAAAAGGTTTCCAAAGTGATTTCATTCCTATTCATGACACCACCTGCCACACGTAGGTATAAACCATGCCCAATCTGTATCTATTCTTCATCTACAACTTGGCTTATCTGTTCCCCCAAGTACCTGATGCGTCATTGACATTTCAAGTTTATCCAAAAGTAAGCCTCATCCTCTCCCCCATCCAATGTTTGCAGGTTTTACATTAATTATGAACAAAACCCATGAATAAATACATTTTTTTAAAGCATAAGCTTGATTCTGAGGCTCAATACATAATATTCAACTAAAATTTAGCTATGTTACAATACCAAAAATATTCGCTAATCATGTATTTCAGTATAAAAAATAGGCCAATATATACATTTGGCATTTAAATTTTAAAAAAATCAGCAATCTTTAAAATAATTTTCTGCTTTCTTTCTAAATAAGGGGGTTTGAGGAATTATATTAGTATCAGTAAGCACTTCTCAAGAAATAATCTACTGAAAGCATGATTAATCTTTACTATAATGTTTGAGCTAGAGGAATCAGATATAATGATGAGTGCTTTCCTTTTAAAGGAATGCCTTTGAGGGATTAGTGTGACATGTTGATATGCAACATAAAGAACTCTGATCCTATGATGAACTTACAGGTAAAACGGGGAATCTTCTTGACAACTGTATGGTTACAGTTCACTTGTTATCATTACCTCTAATGCTCTATATACTTTCTGTCTTGACGTGGAAGTTCTTCATAGGCACACAGTAACTGGTGTAAGACTAAGAATGAAAAGAGCACTGGGAAGCTCAGACCGCGACGGCAATCACAGGGGAGCCAAGTGGTGATGACCACATGTGCCTGGGCTCCACCCATCATCTCAGCATTTAGAGGGTCAGAATTGTTCCATTCTTAAGGAAAAGCATTTAAATAGCTGTTCTAAAAACTGATGCTTTAAAAAAGAGGTCACACTGAGGTAATGCCCATTCCTAATGCAGGAGCCCTTAGAATACTGCTGTAGGCCCTAGGGAGCTGTCGAACCCAGTCTGGACCACTGAAACAGCCCCCTCATTGGTTTCCAGCCTCTTCCCCAGAGAGGTGGCCGTCATATTCTAATACATCCTACTAAGCCACGTAAACATTAAAGAGTATGTCCCAAATACATGTAGACATCTGCTATGTGAATCACAGATACAGCAGGCTATTTGAAAATGATAAACGTGCTACACTCCTTGTGCTCAATCAAGTACTCAGGAGGCACTGAGGAGACAGATGTGGGCATGCGTAACAGTGCACGTGGAACCGAAGTTCACTGATTACAGAGAAAACAAAAAAAATCGAAGAAGGAGCCCAACTGTTCCTAACTGCAGCAAAAGCAATACAGTTTAGTTATCTCTGGATGTCATGAAGCTTAATTTACTTACAGAAAACAACCAGAAACTTATACAACAATTTTAAAAACTGGACAAAGTATAACCCCAGGGTTAAGAATCTCACTGATTTTCCATCAAACAGATGTCTGTGCCACTTATTTTTATTCATCTAGCACAATAACTCAGAGGAACTTGAAGTTTCAGCATATTCTAAATAAATACTTGGCAAGGAGGGTGTAGAGAAAATTAGAGCAGTCAGACTAGAGCAATCTTACGTTTCCTATGAACTGAGGTCTTCACATGCCAGTGGTTCTTGAAAAGTGATCACAGGCTCCTGTGGGTCCTCAAGAGCCCTTCGGGGCATCGGCGAGATCGAAGCTCTGTTAGCACCAACACTAGGACATTATTTACCTTTTCACTGTCGGACATTGGCAGCGGCGCTACGTAAACAATGATGGGCAGAATCAAGGCAGTGGCACCCATAAGAAGGAGACACTGCATTCTTTATCACCAGGAACTCAGACTTAAGAGAAAGGTGCCAGTTTTACCTGAAAATGTCACTGAAGATGCAGTAAAAATTATTAATTATATCTCAAAAGATGAACACACATTTTAACGAGTGTGACAGATGGGTGAAAAACTGGAAGTACACATAAAGCACTTGTGCTGTGTCTTAAAATACATTTTAATTATAAGCTGATTGAGCTGTTTTGTTCGAGTGACATTATATTCAAAAAGAAAACTGACAAACTAAGGTTATTCAGACCTAGGTGTTTGGCAGACATTTTCTGAGAAATGAATAAAGGTTCCAATAGCTCCCCAACACTTGAGACTTTTTCTTTTGGTGTAGAGGTGCTGATATTAAAGATTATTTTTCATAGTCTATTAAATGCATCATTTGGAAGAATCTGCAGAACTCGGTAAACCAATATAGTCCAATAGAGCCCAATATAGACAAATGAGTAAATGTCACCAAATCAATCAGACAAGAGTGAACCATTCATTCAAATTACAAAATAAACCAACAGATCTTAATGTAGCAGAGAGAAGACCCTCCCTGCTCCAGGTTTCTGGTGCACCAAGTATCCTGCCTTTAAGAAATGTCCTCTACCTGCTGGGTGCGGAGTAGTGCCAGGTATATCCACAATTTGCAGAGAACTATTAAAATACTCCTGTTTACTATTACAGATTGGAGTGAGCCTGATTTTCTTCACATTTCACCTAAAAGAACCTGAATGCAAAAATCTATGAAAATCTACCGATTTTCTATTAAGTAGACATTAATAATAGTTTCAAAATGAAAAACAATGCCATACTATTTTTGAACTGCTGTTGTTTCCCATAAAATGCTATTTATGTTAATGTGTAACAGATTTATTATTTTAAATGAATTATTTTATAAGTTTCCAGTATTAATTTCTAACACAATATATATCTCTATAATATTTATAAACAAAAACTTTTGGCGAATGACAGTAATCTTTTAAAATGTAAAGGGGACCTGAGACCAAAATGTTTGGGATCCAGTATTCTATAATGTCTTACTATATAATATTTTTGCCTTTTCCTGCAGATTTGCCTTCTTCATATTAAGGATGACATACTACATTTATTCAAATCCTTTGTGTAATATATATATGTGTGTGTGTGTGTGTGTGTGTGTGTGTGTGTGTATATGTATATGTATGTATGTATATATATATATATATAAAATATATATTTAAGGTTCTCTACCCAGTAATATTCTATCCAAAATTTAAAAATAACACCTACTTAGGTATATCAAGAATTGAAGCCTAAACTATAGAAGTGAATGCATTTCAATTATTATTGTCCTAATAACTGAGAGAATAAACTGGACAAATCTATGATTTTTATCACTGATAAAGTTACATCTTAATGAAAATTATAACTGCCCCACCCACATATAAAATTGTAATTATTTTTAATTGCAAGAGTATACTGTAGTGTATGTGTACTGAACACTGTGTTGCAGTGCACATTTACTGATTCTGTCAACAGCAAAAGGTCTTTGAAAACTACAAAATACATTTTATTTGCACACTGATTAAATAGGAATTCCTCAAGAACAATTCAGTTAAAAGCTAAACAATTAAAAATACAATTTAAAAAGTTCTAAATCATGGATATATTTTCTTAAAGGTCTGCAAGTCCATCTTTAATTAGGAATTTGGGGAACAGTTTGTTTAAAAATTGCTCACACATTAAAGCAACATGCCTACAGATGACAGAGCAATGTGCAGGTTCAAGAGAAGACTGTCAGAGCTGAAAGCGAGGTCATGTGTCATGGCTGAGATCACATCACACAGGAGAAAGGACCCCAGGGTGCTCGCTAACTACTACAGGGGATTCCCACTTTCAATCGCAAATCAAATTCTATAGACCTGAAATTCAGCACTCTTACAGCAATACAGCTCCTTTTCTGCTAAGCACTGGGAAGAAACCAGGCCAGCTGCACAGCTAAAATGGAAACACAAATAGCGGCTATCAACGTGTTGAAGACACCACAGAATGAATTCTCTATTTCCCTAATGGTTACCCACATGCCATCAATAATGAAAAAGCGTGTATTAACAGTCCTATGGGACAAATGAACACAAACTGCCAATGGAGACACTGGACAGTAATAACAGTTCAGAGAGCATTTTAAACTGAATTTTAATCTGAACAGGCAGATACTTCAAAAATTACAACAGGCAGCAAGTTAATTGCATTTCTGTGTTTTTTTTTTTTTTTTGGTTCATGAAGCCTCAAAGATTTGGCAAATATAATTAACTTTGACAGAGCTTAGATGACAGATTTTTGTCACTAAGGAAGCCAATTACAATTTGTCCTGAAATTATAAATATCTGTAATAGTTAAAAAAAGGGGGGGGGCACTCACAAGGCTAAACATGCAAATAATGACATTAGAATTTAGAATGTTAAGGAAACTCAGAAAGTTTCCAATTTATGAGTACATAATGTCCTAAAACTACCTATAAACAAGACGGATGGAACCGAGAATTTACTGTCTTACATGAAACCAATGTTACAGGAGTAGCTAGATTTTCAGGTGAACCTGTAAATACCTGTGGTTCACATCCTGGAGATACTCTTATCTTTGGAAGGCGTTGCAGCAGCCTTAGCTTTGAAGACCTATGTGAAGCAAAAGCATGTAACATAAAATGTAAAAGTGTAATAATTACAAAGTCTATCATTAGAGGGTAAAAATTACAACAACTAGGCCCTGGCTTGGTGGTTAAGTGCTGTGGAAAGAAAACTGGATCCTACTTGGTGCCCTGCTGTTCTTGAAAAACACACGGGGGTGGGGTACAAGTGGCATGGTGCTTAAGGCGCTAGCCTCCCATACTGGACCTTGACAATCACACTGGGTGTGATTTTCAGTTTTCGGTTTGCGCATGCCTGCTCAAAACCCCAGGAGAATGAAGGAGCAGGGATTTTGATATGGCTGTCCCCCTAGGAGTGGTTTCTCAATCTCCCTCTCACTCTCTGGCAAGCGTAACTGCCTTACTACAAAAATAAATTTTTAAATTGAAAAATAGAGAAAGAGAAATGAAAAAAATATATACGGGTAGGTGAATACATGCTGAAAATCTTGAGATGATAAACGGGGGAAATCGACAAACGGATGGTGGAGTATGACCATGCCTCACTGTGAGGTGCTTTTTCCCTGGCAAGTGAATGTGTCCTCTGATGATTTTTTTTTTAATGTTTTCAATACCTTCAATCACATTATTTAACTTAGAAAGTGAACATTTCGGTATGTGAATGTTTCTCCCCAATCTAAATGATCAAAGTATCTTCAACAGATAACCCCACTATCTCCCTGTCCTGTCAATGCTCTGTCTCTGATGAATTTTAAAAAAAAGATTTACAACTAAAGCCTTTTTTAGATGTATTATTCAAAAGAAAAGGTATTTAAGGGCCTCCCACTTTCTGGAGACAAGATCTGAGTAAAAATTAAACGACTCCTAAACTAATGAAAACAGAGAAACAGAATTAGATTCCCCTGAGATAATGACAATGAGGGGGGGATCACAGGTCCAACAGTTTCCTGCACCTGGCAGAAGTCGCATTGCTGGTCCAGAATAACCTGGGTAATAAACCCTCATATTCCGATGACAAGAAGCCTTCAGTGTGCCTGTGTGCCAAGAGCTACCTGTAGGTACAGGCATTTGGAAGCTGGCTGGCTTCCCTACTTCCAAATTAACTACAATGGGAGGCAGTGAGGGCTGTGGGAAGGAGACAGTGTTTTGGGGGTGTGATCTGCTAATAGCTAGGTAGCTTTTGCCAACTCACTAAGCCTCTCTAAATATACATTTCCTCATATATAAAAGGAGGATGAAACATTAACTGGAACAGTGCTGGGATCAAACGCAAAAATGTCTTAATAAATGCAGCTACTTTTGAGACAGAACTTTACCACCTACTAGGGCAGAGTGGGCAGAAGAAACACGACTCGGAGTCCTGCTAGACGGCCATTAAATAGTGGCTGGGACTCACTAGCGTGTTTGCACCCAGGAAACCATTATGGCAAGGCCTTATTTTCTGTCCAAACCAATCTGAGGTGGATGATGTCCCAGGACGCTTTCCTTAGGCTCTACTCCTGCTGCACACCATCCCAGTCTGCAGGCCCTTACTCTTAGCGCTGGCTCACCTGCTTACACAGGCTTTGCCCAATTCTCACCTTCCAGCACGTCACACGGGCTGGAGCAGAGGCCTCTACCAACAACTACCGGGTGAGCAGGTGATGTCTCGGGGAGGCTAACTAGGAGAACACACAGCCGGGCAATCACAAATCCCCAGAGAGGAATACAGTTTGATTTTGGAGTCAACGACATGTCATGAGTCTAAACCATGCACACAAACGAGCTTTAAGCCATGCCAAAAGCAGCCTGGAAAGGATCAACGCAAGTCAGACGCGCACACTGGCGGCCACTATACTCCTCTCTATCTACTCGGCTACTATTGCACAGCAGCCAGAAGAAAAAGACCTGTTAAAAGGCAGACTCGTTTCCAGTTAAACCCTGGGCAATGACCCCGGGCACGCATTTTACATAAAACAACGTGGACGAAGATCTACAGCCAGGCTGACTTGAGGTGTGCACGGTGCAGTCTCGAGGAGTCTGACACGTCCCGAAACTTCCCGCCTCGGCGTTCGCGGGTCCCACCTAGGAGTTGGGGCTTCTTCTCCACTTTGCGTCTGTGGGAGGGTGGGGGTGCTGAGCCAGGCTCAGAGCAGGTCAGTGCGCACAGCCGGGAACGCAGCGACGTTCTAGGTTCCAACCACCAGGAACGCCGAGCCCGGCC